GGTGTCTGGGCAGATAGGAGGCCCCAGGGCGGGAGGCCCGACGCTGGCCTACTCTTCATTGGCCTGGAAGGCTGAGGCCTTGGCTGCGAGTGCAAGCCCTCGGGACCGTCCCTGCCCCTAGAGGGAGCTGTGAGTCCGCGCCCTGGGAATGTTAACTGCGCGGCTTGGGAGTCCTGGCCGCTGGATTTCCTGGGGAGATGGCAAATGAATTGGGCCTTGGAGGCGGAGACTAGGGGGTACCTTATGACCTGGCGCCTGAGGGGAGGAGAACCGCGCCTCCATCTTATTGCCTGGAAAATGGGTTGCTGGTGGAACAAAAAGGCTGAGGCTACTCCAGCGACAGGAGCTAGACAGCCAGAGGAGGAGACACTGGAGTAGGTGGCTCTTCTTGATGGTTCAGGGATTTTGTGCTTTCCTGGTTTCCGTTCCCCTGCTCTTCTAGATGAGAAGAGACCTAGCATGGACTTAGCATTCATCAGACTCTATTTTAAGTGACAGTTTGGAGCCTGTGTCCTGCCCCCAACTGAGTCAGTCTAGTCACTCCTATAGGTGCTCAATAAATACTTTTGGATTTTTTTTTTTAAGTCCCATTGCCAAGTACTGTGTTCAAGTGCGTTACAACCATTGCAAGGTTGGTGTTGTCCCATTTTACAGATGAGGACACTAAGACCTGTAAGTTAATCACTTGTCCAAACTAGATAACAGCAGGTCCCTATGGAACCCAGGTTGGCCTGCCTCCAAAACTCCCACACCATCTGCTGCCTCGTATCCCCCATGCCGGCATCCAACAGGGCAGTCTGCAGCACTTCCTCCACTCCCAGAGCCAGGTCCAGGGGGGAGTTCATAAAGAGGGCTCCTCCTCCTGCTCCACTTCAGGAAGCCCATACAAGAAGTGTTGGTGGGAACTGTGAGTCAGCAGGGTGGCTCCGTGGGCAATGAAACAGGTCCAGACCTGGGGTAGGGGTGATTATGAGAACAAGACCTCTGGGGAAGCCCCAGTCCATTTCCCTCCTCCCTCCCTTACCTCCTCTCCTTGCCCTCCCCATCCCCAAAGCACCGCTGAACAAACAGTACCAGGTAGGTGGTGAGGCCCAGGTAGGCTGCAGCCAGCAGGGCTACAAGCCCAAAGTAGGCAGGGTGGGGGAGGCTGGGCAGGTAGCTGACCACGAAGTAGAGGTTGATGGCACAGACCAGTGCCATGATTGAGGAAGTGATGGCCTTGCTTAGCCTGGAGAACAGGAAGGAAACTCAGGACTAGCTGCATCTCCCCCTCTCCAGTGCCCACAGCCAGACTGAAACCGGTGGGGAGAGTAGGGCGATAACAAAGCCAGCTTCTCTGGGCTGTGGAATCTGCAGCAGACCCCCGCCTACTTCTGCCTCGTGCGCCCTCCAGTCTCCACCTTGGTGGGATTTTTCAAGAGCAGAGTCTGAGGTGAAGGTGAAGAGCTCAGGTTCTAGAAACAGCCTCCACCCCTAGACTTCAGTCCTGGCTCCCCCATTTGTGTGACCTTGGACAGGTTCCTTAACGTCTCTGAGTTTATCTGGATAATGGGGATAATAATGGCAATTCCTACCTCTGGGTGATTGTGAGGATCAAAGGCGGTAATGCAAGTCCACTGCCTGGGAAGGGGAGTACTCACCAGCCATTGGCAAACTCCTGCATGAGCGTGGGCATGCTGGTGAACGTGAAGATGGGCAGCACAGCAAAGGGAAGCTGGGGAGAATCGGGAGCATGGGGCTGAGAGACCCTGCCCTCAGAACACAGCAAGGACAGGAGGGGACCAGAGCTCCTTTCATCCTCTGCCTGGCTGTGTGCCCTTGGGCAAGTCTCCTAACCACTCTGAGCCTCAGTTTCTCCACCTCAGTGCCTTCCAAGCTTGTGGGGCTCCAGAGCAGGAGAAAGTGTTTGGGAGCTGTGGTCCCAGGCTGCCTGAGTTTGAACCCCAGTTCTGTCACTGGTCACTTAACTGTGTGCATCAGTTTTCCAAGCTGCAAAATGGGGATAACGGTGGTTTGTACCCCTGGTCTGGCTGTGGGATTTGTTGTTGGCAAGGTATGTTTAGACTGTGCCAGGGAGGAGGGTTTTGCTCAATATAGGGGACTGTTGTGGTTCCTGTTTAGCTTCACGGGGGGCAGGGGTGACAGGGATGCCCTCACCAGCAGGCTCTGCAGCACATTGAGCAGGTCGTTGAGTCCTGACAGGTCTCTCAGGTCCCTGAAGAGGGCCACGAGCACAGTGGGCAGGATGGCACAGGAGCGAGTGAGGAGGACTCGGGCGAAGCGTGGCCACCTCAGCTTCAGGAAACCCTGGAGTACAGGGTGGACACCCTAATGTCTGGGTGCAGGACAGCGGATTCCAGAGGAGGGACCTCTGTCTTCCCTCATCCCATCTCATGCCTGGGGAACCCTCTGTTTTTGCATCTCCGAAATGGGGGCAGCTCTGTTCTTAGTAGACAATGGATGGACAGAAATTCGGGGAGTTCCTTTCCCACAGCTGACTGCTGCAGACTCAAGAGTTTTGGATAAAAGCCTCTTATTAGTCCTGGGCCTGCAGCCTTGGGCCAGTCGCCTCACCTCTCTGCATCTCCGTTCTGTCATCTATAAAGTGGGGCTTATAATGGCTGCTTTAGGATCTGGGCTGCTTTAAGGGTCAACAAAGCCCGTGTCCCAGTAGTGTGCCAGTTCACCTCGCACCCCTGGCCCCAGGGCCCACCTCCATCACAAACTGTCCCGCGTAGGTGCCAGTCATGGTGGAGCTCTGCCCCGCCGCCAGGAGGCCCACTGCCCAGATGTAAAGGGCTGCGGGGCCAAAGACGCAGCCCAGCATCACGCCCTGGAAGGAGGGGTGTGGTCAGACCGTGGCCCCGCCTCCCGCACGGCCCCTCCCCTTAGTGGGCGTGGCTAAGAGCCGAGCAGGCTGTGCCCTTCCACGCCCAACCCCCCCTCCCCCCGCGCGCTTACTCCTTGGTAAATGTCCACGTCCACTGTGTGGTTGTTCTTGGGGAAGATCTTGGCGTAGTCGTGGAGGCTGCTGTTGGCACAGACGTTGAACTGCGGGCACCGGGGCAGTAGGAGGGAGATGGGAAGTGCACACTCAGTCTCAGAAGCTCAGGCCACCAGTCCTTGACCAGGGGTGGAAAACTGGTGGCCCTTGGGCCGACTCTGGCCAGACATATTTCGTTTGGCCAACGAGTTGTTTTTTTCTTTAATGTGAATTTACTGCCACCATTTAAAATTGAGAACTCACATGAGAACCCTGTTTCCAGGGGTTTGTAAGAACTGGCGTTACCACAGAGAGGCACATGGCTGGCAGTGACTCAAGCTGCCCCACAGTCCCCTTTTCCTTACACTGAACCCACTTCCCACAGCTCTGTGACTGGCCAGGTCTTGAAGACAACAGTTTGCCATCGCTATCTAGACCTGTCTCCTTGTGTCCAGGAGCAGCGTGAGACCCAGGGAGAGGTGTAACTGTGAAGATCATAGCAAGGCAGTGGCAGTGCCCAGGTCCCCGGAGGCCTGGCCAGTCCTCTGCCACGGTGGTCAGCATTCAGTAAGCACCCAACACTGACCAGCAGTTATTAGAGCCTTGTGACAGAGACCCACTCAGAACGGGAGACAGGCACAGGCTGAAAATCCAAGAGAGCCAGAAAGAAGCTAGCTGGCTCCTTCTCTTTCAGACTCAGCTCAAATGTCACCTCCAGAAGTCCCCTCCTGACCACCAGGGCTAACGGAGCCCCTCCCTCATCACATCCCCAGTGATGTTTCATCACCTCCTTTATTTTCCTTTGCAACATTGTCCACACTCTTCCCTTTTGTACTGATTTGTTGATTTGTTTCCTGTCTGCCCACCACCCTCCAAATTTAAACTGTAAGAGGGCAGGGTCTTCATATCAGGGACTAGGGACACCGCCTGATACACAACAAATGCTCAGTAAATATCTGCTGAATGGATGAAAGTTTATTTGCTAAAAAAAAATTATGAGAAGAAAATGAGTGCCTGTGCATTCCCACTCCACGCTCATGCTCAGACATCCTCTCCCCCCAGAATGCCCTCCCCTGCAGTTTGCTAGGCAAATCCTGCCCAATCTTCCAGGTACAACTGGAATGCTGGGTCCCCTGAGACTCAGCTCCTCCCTCCCAGGCACTTCCCTTGTGTGTCTGTGCCTTGTAGCACCTTGTGTGACTCTGACCCTCAAGGGTCTGCCTGGGGGGAGCTGTGTCCCCCCAGTGGGTTGGGGAAGAGAGTTCCAACCAGAGGCCAAGGTCACAGACTCCCTTTCCTACCAATGCCTGGAGTGTAGAGCAGAGTCTCAAAGGGCTTAGCTACGTTGCCTGGGGTCCCCAGCAATGCTAGAGGGGAAGTGTGATGTGTCTCACCGCAGCCTGGTTGGTTTGCTGGTAGAAGGCCTGCCCAAAGACAGCCACAACAAAGAGGTTGATGAAGAAGGAGACTGACAGGGCAATGGTGGCCTCGATCAGGAAGTACATGTTGGCTTCTTGGATGTCAGCCCTTTGGGTCCGGTCTATCTCTCGAGACTACAAAGGTCAAAGGGGAAAGAATAGCCAAAGTCTCTCAGAGCCACCCCAGCATCTCCACTCTCACACCTCTAAGTATGTTCTCCTCAAACCCGTCCTTTCTAAAGCCCCCTACATGGCAGTCTGGGACAGGCCCTGGTCAACTGACCCCCTTCCTACATGCCCAGTTTATTTCTCCTCAGAGCCTTTGCCTTCACCATTCCCTCCACTTAGAATATCTTCTCCTCTTATCTTCCTTCCTATCCTTCCTTCCTCCTATGTCTCAAAGTCCCCTCCTTACAAAGGCCTTTCCTGACTACCTTTTCTAAAGTAGCCTCTCCTCAGTCACTATCACGTCTCTGTTTCGTTTCCTTCAGAGCACCTTGCACAATCCAGAATTCTCTCCATCATTTGTTGATGTGCTCATGGTCTGTCTTCCCCACTAGAATGCAAGCTCCAGGAAGGCAGAGAACTTGTCTTTTTATCATCGACTCTGGATCCCAGCACGCAACAGGTGCTTTGTTATTAGATATTGAATAGAGAATGAATCACTTCCCACCTAAAATCTGGAAGGCAGGAGCCAAAGGGGAGGGCCTCCAGGCTTGGAGGCGGGGCCAGTGTGAAGCTAAGGGACCAGGTGCCTCTCCCTTCCTGCCCCTCTGTTCACCTTGACCAGGGCTGAGTGCAGGTAGATGTTGTGGGGCATGATGATGGCACCAACGATGCCCACGGCCTGCAGCAGCTCTGGCTGGCCGCAGCCCGGGCACGACGGCAGGAGCAGGCCTCGAAGAAGCGGTCCCTGAGCGGGGCGTGCCACCACGTACTGTGAGGAAGAGCCTGGTCAGACCAAACCTTGCCCCTGCAAAGCCATGCTCACCTTCCCCCCTGCCCCTGGCCCCTCAGGCTCTGAGTGGGGCAGAGAGAGGGTGGCCTTGGTGGAGGGTGCTGCAGCTCTGACTTCCTACCTCATAGCCGAAGGTCAAGGCCATAATGGTAATAAGGAATCCAAAAAAGGCTTCCAGCTTCCGCAACCCTAGGAGGAGAGCAAAGGGGCAGAAAAACAAAACAAAAAAACTGTAACGTATGCAATTATTAATGGTGAAACCTTGAGCACTTTGTTCTAGGCCCTGTGCCAAGCGCTTAACATATGTCACTTCAGTGAATCCTCACCACAACCCTGTGACGTCCGTGCTATTATTTTTCCCATGTTACAGATGAAGAAACAGAAGTCTGAGTAACTTGCTCAAGGCCACACACAGTGAGGAGCTCAGCGCTTCCCCAGAACCGCGGAGCATCAACTGGCTCTTGCATTCACTTGCCCAACCCGAAGTGCAGTCCCTCCGAGATGAAGGGCATACCCACCGTAGTTATCCAGGAAGAGGAAGAAGAAAGTGTCCACGATGGTGATGAGGACACCACCCCAGAGAGGGATTCTGAAACCAGAGTGGCCTGCGTCAGCCCAGCCTGGTCCAAAGGTCCCAAACTCCCACCCTCAGGGCTAAAGACCGAAATCTGACCTCCTGGGAGCAGGGACCCAAGCGGCCCCAGACAGATACAGGAGAGGGGAGCAGTGGGACTGTGCTGGAGATGGAAAATGGCCAAGATGGGTGGGGGACCAGTATGGCAGGGAGCTTGGGGCTGCTGCCCTGAAGCCTGCAAGGTCGCTGACATTGTGTGACTTTAGACAAATCACTTTGCATTTCTGGGTCTCTGTTTCCCCACCTGGCAAATTGGGCAACAACTCTGAGTCAGAGGAGACTGCAAGCTGAAATGGACACAGGGAAGTATAAGGTCTGGGGAAGAAGAAGCCGCTGTTCCCAGCCCTGGCCTGAAGATCTGGGGCCCTGGGGCAGTACCGTCCAGCCGAGAGCAGACTGAATGCTATAGCTGTGCCGATGACCTCTTGCATGTCCGAGCCAACAATGGCTAGCTCTATGGTTAGCCAGAGGAGAATGCGGGGCACCTAGGGGAGGAGGTAACCTTCACTAAGGCTGGTCAGTTGTTTGTCTCAGTCCTACGCTCACCTTTCCATACTCAGTACTGTCCTGCCAGGCTAGAAGCCTGCAAACTACATTTGCAGGATGGCCTTGCCAGCTGGCTTCCAGTTGGGTTTGGCAGGAAACACTTAGGAGAGATTAAAAGACAGGGAGAAATCGTTTTCCCACTGCTTCTGGTGGTGTTTCTGGCAGTGGCACCTGCAAAAGCACCAGGCCACCTAGGCTCCAGCAGTACTGGTGGCCATCTCAGCAGAGGTGGCGATGCTCCCAGAAGTTCAGCAGCAAATGATGGCTCTTGGGCTCCTGCCCAGCAGCTTTCTGACCTCTGGGTAACACCCTCCTTCCATTGCTTGCCCAGCCCTCCCAACACCTTGTGACTACATCCCTGCATGAAATACCTTTGAGATATCTAATGGTGAATTTTGGTTTTCCTGCCTAGACACTGACAACAGCCAAGCCCCCAGTGTCCACCCCAGCCAATGACCGTCCCAAGCTGATGACTACCTATATTTTCCCTTAAGCAAGTCATTTCTCCAGGTTTCAATTTCCCCTTCTAGAAGATGAACAGGGCATGACTAGCATCGCTTTCAGTTTGTGTGCTGTTAGTTTGAGCCTCAGTGTTCTCATCTGTGAAATGGACTTTTAACACACACACACCCCCCCCCCTTGAGATGATGTATTTATTTGATCATGGAAGCTGTAAGTGAATGTTTTGGGTTTGGGGCCTGTGGGTGTTTCCTGTCCAGGCCCACCAAACTTACCTTAGAGTAGTAGAGATGGCAGACCTCACCCAAGTCTTTGCCCGTCACCACGCCCAGCCGGGCAGCAAGTCGCTGGCAGAGCAAGCCCAACACCGTGGCCCACAGCAGCACCCAGAGCAGCTGTGAGAAGGCAGGAAGAGGCCTTCAGCCAGAGGGGCCAGTCTGCTAACCCTGGAATTGATGGCACCCTCTAACCAAGAACATTCCTTGGGGACAAAGTGGGGAGATGGAGTAAGAAGACCAACCTCCTCCCCTGCTCCCCATATACCCCACAATCTGGCAGGGATGCCCTGGGGACCCTTTCCAGCCCATTTGAACTTAACATCTTCTCCCAGGAACAAGCTGGCATCTCCACCTACTTAACCTGGTCACCCCCCTCCCCACAGTGCCCCAGCTCAATTACTTTGAATCCAGCCACGGCGCCAGCCTGTAGGTCTGACTCGATGTTTCCTGGGTCCAGGAAAGCGATGCTCATGAGGAAGCCGGGCCCCGTGAAGGCCCACAGCTTCCTCAGGCTGAACGTGCCCTATGGGTGGGAGTGGGGTCAGAGGGTCCTGGGTATAGGGGCTGTAGTGACTGGCCTTGGCCCACACCCAGGTGAACTACAAGGGGCTTATCAGCCCAGGCTGGCCAGCCGGGCCCTCTATTCCCCATTCCTGGAGCCGCACCCCCCCAGGGGTTAGTGGACTAGGGATGGGAGGAACCCAATGGGTTGCTGTCACAACCCATTGACTTTTTGGATCCAGCACAGTCAGCAGCCTGCCTACACCTGACCAGCTTACCTCCTGCAGGCCCTGACTCTGCAGATCCTCAGCCCCCAACGGGTTTTTCCTGGGGTCAGGCCTCCCTGGTCCAGTTCCTCCCTCCCCAGCCCCTTGTCAGACCATAGGCCCTCCTCTCTGGAGTCCACTGAGCCAAGGGTCTCCCTGCCCCCATTCCAGGGCTTGGTCTGGCAGCCTGGGATCTGCTAACGATTCTGGAAATGCAGGGTGACCGGGTGACCACGTCCTAAAAGCCAACCCACAGCCTCCTTCGCTTCTCCTGATGTCCTTGGCCAGGTCCTTTTCTTTAACAACAACAAATCCTCAAGGCTCTAACCTGAATTCACCCCAAGTCCTTCATAGGAAAGCTGAGATTCATCCAGAAAGCCACTGATAATTTTTAGACAAATGATAAGCCAAGTGCCAGAGACAGAAGCAGAAGGGGGGCAGTCACACGGTCCACCACTGCTGCTCAGAGCTGGAAGGAATTTGCCATGGTCTTCAGGAGACTCCCTCTGCCAGCCCCTGAGATCCCCCGATATGGCCCTATCAATCCTGAAAGACCCAGGGAAGTTTCCAGCATTCCCACCGGTTTTGTGTCTGGAATGGAGATCTTCTCTCTCAGGTAGGTCGCTTCAGAGGGCGCTTGCTCTGGCCCTGTGCTGGGTGGGCTGGAGATGGAGTCATAGCTGGGCCTGCTTAGCCTTTGGGGACCCCTGTCACCTGCAAAGGGCCCCATGAGGCATGGTGAGTGACCTGTTTCTTCCTGGTGGCCTAGGGCTAAAGCCATGTGTCCTACTCCCTTGCCTCCTCCCAGCAAAGTGTGGAATTAAGGCCCTTGACTCCCATCTTGGCTCCACCACCTTCCCCCCCCTTGACCAAATGTTGAAGAAAATGTAGGAAGCGGAGCCTTCAGGATTACTTTCCTTCCGTGTGAGCGTAGAGATCCCCAAGTCCAGATCTCTTGCCACAGAGGATGTGGAGAGGGACACCGGGCTCTGAGTAGGGCTGCCCGACACTGACACGTGTACCCCTTGGCCTCACCCCCCCGCCTCCAGCAGCCTAAGAAGTTCCAGGGGCTCCAAACGCACAGAGATCAGACAAAGGGGTTACTATGCCCTTGGGATGCAAAGACCCCAACCCCAGGCTCGTGTCCAGAATGGTGGTCTAGACCAGGACTCCCATGGGGGACCAGGGGCCTCCTTTGCCTCCCTGACTCTCCCCCCATCCTTGGAGGGGGCTACTCACCTGTCATGAGGACAGCAGGTCAGGCACTCTGTGTGTGAGCGGCGTGCTGGGAGCTCCTCAGCTCATGCTTCCTCTCTGGGTGCCGGTGCACGTCAGTGTGTGAGCCCACACCCTCGTACCCATCCTCAGTGCAGCTTGGCTGCCCTCACACACATGGGGTGTTGTGAAACACTTTCCAAAGGCAGAAGTGGCCAGCTCTAGAAGAAGGGCCTGGTTGGACTTCCGTTCCCCTTCTAGTCTGAGCCCCACGATACCTGTGGCTCCCTTCCAGATACCCCATGTTCTGTGTCTCCCAAGTTAGCTCTAATTTCAAGATGCTTCCCATCACTTGGGCATTCAAGTTCAGATCAGTTTACTACTCCCCACTCACCTCCTGCACAAGCAGTCAAGCTCTTCTCCTCTTCTGTCTGAAGCCCCTTGACCACTGGTAGGGCTAATGGGAGGGAGTCCTGATGGCTACCTTGGCTTCAGTTTCCCACTGAGTGCCTCAGAGAAAAAGACCTTGCAGACACTGCCACAGGGACATGCATTCAAGGCTCTGGCCAAGGAGACCCTTAGAAGAAAGGGACACTGGAATCCTGGTCCTGGCTTTGCCACTGATTCACTTGAGATTGTCACCAGATCGTGTCCTCTTTCTGAGCTTGTTTCTTCTGTTAAATGAAGGGTTCTAACTACCTAAGAGGTTAAAATTTAGATGCCTGAGGAGACCAGGCAGATAAGATAAACTGAGACAGATTGGGAGCAAGAAAAACAGTGCCAGCTCAGTGTTTAATGACAAATGATGCTGAGCCTCCGTGTCAGGGGTCAGTAGAGAATGGTGGTGACTGTAGCAAAACAGAGGTCAGGTACTATGTCTGAGGAGGACAGTGTCTACAGACTTCCAGCCAATGGCCATGTGAGTCCACTGTCACCATGCCTTCTGATTTGTCAAGGTTGCTGGAAATTTTGGAATTTTATGCAACATAGGCTTTTTGGATGCTAGGCTCAAAAACATTGAAAATATTGTGTAACCTAAAGAAAACATCTCTATGGGCTGGATTCTACTTGAGAGGTATCATCCTATACCCCCTGGGTAAATGGTGGGCAAAACCCTTCCAGCTCCCAGTTTCTTCCCCTTGCCAGCTTCTGTGCTCCCCACTTTCCTCCTCAGGTTCTTCTCTTTCCCATGCCCCTCGCACCTTCTATCTGTGGCCTTTTTCTGTCAAGAAGCTTCAAACCAGAATTACTACGGAACATCCAAAGTCTGAGGCCTCAAGAGCCAGAGAGAAATCAAGTCAGGTTCTCAGGCCCAGACCTGATCTGGGAGATGATGTATCCCCATGTTGAATCAAAAACTTTAGCCAAAGCTTGGGAATCCAGGCTTGGGGGAGGCAGCCAATTCCCCGACTCCTCGTTGATGAGGGGGTCTGGAGGGACTGGAAAATGAGGGAGTAGGTAAATGATGAGTCAGGGAGGAGAGAAAGGCATCGTGGTTTGTGCAATCCTATTGCTCAAGCTCCCCTCGTCATCCCATTTCCCAATCACTGCCTTGGGTGTAACAGCATACTGTGATGGTTCATTTTATGTGTCAACTTGACTGGGCCGTGAGGTGACCGGATATTCGGGTGTGTTTGTGAGGGTGCTTTTGGAGGAGATCAGCATTTGAACTGGTAGACTGAGTGAAGTAGATTTCCCTCCCTGCTGTGGATGGGCCTCATCCAGCCAACTGAAGACCTAAACAGAACAGAAGGCTGAGAAAGGGAGAACTCTCTCTCTCTCTGCCTGTCTTTGAACTGAGCTGGTCTTCTCCTGCCCTCAGACTTAGCTTCGACTGGAACTTATACCATGGAACATACCTCTCTTACTTCTCAGGCCTTCAGACTGGAATCATATATGCCATTGACTGTCCTGGGTCTTCAGCTTGCACAAATTGTGGGACTTCTCAGCTTCCATACTTGTGGGAGCCAATTCCCTATGTATGTATGTTTGTATGATCCATCTATCACTTTCTATCTATCTATTGGTTCTGTTTCTCTGGAGAACTATGACTAAAACAGATGTCTTCTTTTTATCTTTTGTGGAGTCTTACCTATAGTTAGGAACTCAGTAAGTATATTGATTAATGATTGATCAATATCCCACACATCCTCTAACTTAACCATTATAGTGTAATGGTTAAGAGCAGAGGTTCTTGACAGAGTAGCAGAGGGTGGGAAGCTACATGAGCTAGAGGTCCAGAAATCTGCACAGTGGTCCCCTTGGACCTGGAGCTGTGGCTGGATACTGAACCCTGCATGTGCGTGGTGAAACTTCATGAAATCCAATTCACTCAAAATGGATCACAAACCTAAATGTAAATAAAAAACTTTTAGGAAAAAAGTAGGAGAAAATCTTTAGAATCCAAGACTAAACAAAGACTTGTTAGACTTGACACTAGAAACATGATCCATAAAGGGATCTCATCAAAATTAAAAACTTTTGTTCTATGAAGGACCCTTTAATAAGATAAAAAGACAAGCTAAAGATTCAGAGAAAATATCTGCAAACCACATATTTGACAAAGGGCCAGTATCTAGAGATAGAAAAATCTCTTAAAACTCAACAGTAAAACAAAAATCAAACAATTCAATTAGAAATGGGCAAAAATCATGAACAGACATTTCACCAAACAGATGGCAAAGAAACCCATGAAAAGATGTTCAGCATCATGAGCCATTAAGGAAGTGCAAATTAGAACCAAACTGAGATATCACTACAGCCCTATCAGAATGGCTAAAATAAAAGACAGTCACAGCACCAAGTGTTGGCAATGATGTCGAGAAACCAGACCACTCACGTTGTGGGTGGGAATGTAAAATGGTACAGCCACCCTGGAAACAGTTTGAAAATTTCGTTAAAAACTGAAGATGCGACTATCATATGATCCAACAACTGCTCTCCTGGGCATTTTCCCCCCAGATAACGGATGATTTATGTTCCCATAAAAATCTGTACATGAATTTTTGTAACGGCTTTATTCATAATGGCCCAAACTGAAACTACCCAGACTGTCTTTCAAGAGGTGAATGGTATAGCCAAACTATGGCATATCCAGGCCATAAATATACTCCTGGGCCTTTATGCCAGAGGAATTAAAACTTACGTTCACATAAAAACCTGTATACGAATGTTTATGGCAGTTTTATTCATGAAAGCCAACAGAGGAATGGTTAGACTAACTACAATATAAACCACGGACTACTAGTCAGAGGTAAAAGGAACAAAGCTATTGATCCACACCATGAACTTGGATGATTCTCCAGGAAATCATGCTGAGTGAAAAAAATCAATCACAGAAAGTTACATATTGTATTGTTCCATTTATATAACATTTTTGCAATGACAAAGTTTTGGAAATGAAGGGGGCGTGGAGAGGGAGGTGGGTGTGATTATGAAAACATAACTCAAGTCCTAGCTGGTTTGGTCAGTGGTTAGAGCGTCAGCCCGAGGACTGAGGGGTCCCTGGTTTGATTCCAGCCAAGAACACGGACCTTGGACCTCGGTTGCAGGCTCGACCCCCAAACCCAGTCCGGGCATGTGCAGGAGGCAACTAATCGGTGTCTCTCTCACCTTGATGTTTCTCTCCCTCTTGCTCCCTTCCACTCTCTCTGAAAAGCAATGGAAAATATATCCTCAGGTAAGGATTAAAAAAAAAAAAGAAGAAAAGAAAACGTAACTCGAAGGATCCTTGTGGTGTTGGAACTGTTGGTGGTGGCTACACAACACCACACTCCTGATAAAATTGTACAGAACTTAATACGCACACGCACAACGAGTTCAAGTAAAACTGGGGAAATCTGAGAAAGCTGTGGGTTGTGTCCGTGTCAATGTCAGTATCCTGCTTGTATTGAAAGCAGGCATTCAAACAGATATGTGTAAGTCCACATTCACAGCAACAGTTTCACAACAGCTGAAAGGTGGAAACAACCCAGATGCCCATCAACAGGTGCATAAACATTATGCTACGTGACATGGAAAAACAAAAATGGTATGATTCCGCCTGTACGAGGTACCTAGAACAGGCAAATACACAGAGCAGAAAGCAGGATGACAGTTGCCAGGGGCTGGGGAAGGGCAGAGGGGAATTAGTGTTTGATGGGTACGGGGTTTTTTCTGGGGTGACTAAAATGTTCTGGGAATGGATAGTGGTGATGGTTGCACAGCAGTGTGAATATACTTAATGCCACTAAATTGTACACCTAAAAATGGTGAAAAGGGCACATTGTACATATAGTTTACCACCAAAAAGAGTGGGAAACATCCTGCTTGTAATACTGTATTATAGTTTTGCAAGATGTTACCACGG